TTTTTTAAAAAATCAATGAAAACTCATCTTGACAAAGTTAATTCTAACCCATGGTGAACTCGTGTTACAGAAACACTTATACAGCCTTTGTCCATAATATTTTCTTGGCTGCAACCTTACAGAACCAGATTGTCAGGCCTTTGTTTCATGGAGCCTGGCATAAGCTCTAGATTAGTGGAAGTGGTGGTAATTGTGTGCCATTGAGTCGGTTCCAACTCATAGTGACTCCATATAGGGTTTCCAAGGCTGTAACTCTTCACGGGAACAGAAAGCCTCATCTTTCTCCAGTGGAGTGACTTGTAGATTTGAACTGCAGACATTGAGGTATGCAGCCCAGCTGGTAATCCATTACCCTAGGTTAGTAGTCGTGTGGGAAGTCTTTGTGCTGCCAGGGACCTTAGGTGCACAGACATCCACAGATAGTTTTTAAAGTTAACACATGTCATTTAAAACTTCAGCTACCAGAACTTAGAAGCAGTAGATGTTTAGTTTATAGGAAGCTTGGTGTTTTTGGTCAGTGCTAAGATTTTCCTTGAGAGATGACGATCTTTGATTTCTTGAGACAATGTTTAACTTTGTTTCTTAGTTTCTGAAATAAATATTTAGATTAGTAAAATTCAAAATAAAGGGATTTTAAGAGTTCACTCAGAGCAGCAGTGATGGCATAGAGAGAAAGAGCAGATGAGGACTCTAGTGTGCTGGTGGCCAGGAGACTGGATTGCAGAATGTGCCTATTGGTTGTTTAAATGATTATATATCCCTGTGTGTTTTTGTATACAAAATAAAGTGTGTGTGTGGAGGGGGGAGGGATAGAGGCAAATACTGTTAACCGATGGTGCACGGAGGGGATTGTGATCATTGAATTGAAACAAAATACAATTAATTGCAAAACTGATGTTCTCCCATGTAAACTATCACTCAAATCAAGTTTTTAAAAAAAAGCATTAAAAAAAAAAAGAGTTCACTCAGAGAAGATTGTTAAACACTAGACGGTACCACCATCTCTTTAAAAGACCTAGTTTTGTCCTTCTCTCTCTTTTTTTTCCCCCCCAGGAGTAATTATCTCTTCTGGAGAAGAACGAGGTGTGTAAGGTGACATGTTCAAGTTTTTCCCAGCTTTCTGGAACAGTTTCATAATGTGATTTATTCATCACTTCCTTTTCTGAATTATAAAAGCATAGTACTGATGTGACTTCAAGTAAATGAGTGAGACCCTCTGAACAGCCACTTTCTCATTTGTAAAAACAGGACTTATGCTACTATATAAAACGTATTTCACTAGTAAGCCCTAAAAGCTGCTTACCCTTGAATCTTCAAAAAGTTAATACTTGAGGTAGTTGAAGGTATAAATCTTTAAGTTTTCCACAGAGCCTAACACAGTAATTTATACATGCTTAGTATAATTTTTACAAAGGTAAATATGGGCAGTGTGAGCATTTGGGCCTAAAAGGCAGTGTTTTCAAACTACAGGTTAAAACCCATTGTTGTTGTTAAGTGCTGTCGACTTGGTTCTGACCCATAGCGACCCTGTATAGGGTTTCCAAGGAGACGCTGGTGAGCTTGAACAACCAACCTTGCAGTTCAAATGGCTTTGCAGTCTGGTGCATTAACCCACAGCACCACACCAGGACTCCTAAAATCCATTGTTGTTGTTATGTGCCATCGAGTTGGTTCTGACCCATAGCGACCCTGTATAGGGTTTCCGAGGGTGTAAATCTTTACGGGAGTAGAAAGCCTCATCTTTCTCCCGCGGAGCAGCTGGTAGTTTCGAACCGCTGACCTTAAGGTTCGCAGCCCGATTCGTAACCACTACGCTACCAGAGCTCCATTAGTGGGCTATTAAATATAGTTGTCTTGAGCTGCATTATACATTTTAATGGAATAGAATAGAAATTATAAGAATGTCTCTAATGTAGTAATAATCATATTGCCTCTGAAACTTTGGTTTCAGTTTTACATATATAGATATATTGATTTGCTTTGGGCCATATGTAAAACACATTTTGACTGTAGATCATAATCAAAGTAATTTGAGAAATACTCTTATACAGCCTTTGTCAGTCCTTCAGTTTTCAGTATTGAGGGACTGACATAATTTTTAAGTAATCTTAGAGCCTTAAGGAGTCCTAGTTGTCCTGTGGGATAAGCACTGGACTGTGAACTATAAGGTCAGTAGTTCAAACCCACCAGCCATGCTGCAGAAGGAAGATGAGACTTTCTGCTCCCATTAAGATTTATAGCCTCAGGGGAAAATCACAAACAAAATACAGCAGTCTGATTGGCTACCACAAGAACAAGCAATTTGCTCTCCAGACAGCGAGCAAGGCAAGCAATGAAGTCCCTTCAGGACAAACCCCTTCCAAGACTGAAACTCAAAGGCAATACACAAGCAGGCATGTAAGCTTGTTGTCAACCTTATTGGTCTACCGGTGAATGGAATTAGGGGAAAAGCAGCAATGAAGATGTGGGCTAAGTCCGACCACGATACATAGACTCCCATTGACCTGAAGTATGGTGAGACCTGGGGACTCCTGAGCCCATGGACAAGGACATAGCCCCAGAGGGCTAGAGCTGAGAGTGAAGTGTCCAATTGATAAGAAGTGAGGGGAGATACAAAATAATTCCCAAACTTGCAGATAGTACCCATTTGACCTAACTTCAATGGCTAGATGATCAGAACTCGACTAGAGGAAGATGAAAAAAAAATTTTTATAAAGAAAACAAGTGTAAATTGCTTCAATTTGATCAACCTGACTTATACTTTGGGATTTGTTGTTGTTGTGTGCCGTGGAGTCAGTTCCGACTCATAGTGACCCTGTACAGGGTTTCCGAGGTTGTAAATCTTTACGGGAGCAGAAAGCCTCACCTTTCTCCTGCGGAACAGCTTGTAGTTTTGAACTGCTGACCTTGCAGTTCACAGCCCGATTTGTAACTACTACGCTACCAGAACTCCTTATAATTTGGGATCTAGTAGCTTAAAATACCAACCAAGAGGGAAGGAATCTTTATAGCAAGGATCATTCCCATTCCCTCTGTACACAGGGTTGATAGGGATGGGCAACTTAGACATTGGCTACCTAAAACGGGGGGCAGAGGAGGCTGTAAAGGCATGAAGTGACTGGCTTACAAGTTTTCAAGAGGGAGTTTAGTTTCAGAATGTGCAGGGGAGGGTAGAATCCCCATTGAATAGTTTTATCTTGCCTAGATGGGTCTTGTGAAAGATGAGGATAAGATTCTTATGATTCAATAATTGTCATCATGACTAATCATGAGGATCACAACTGTAAAGATAGAGTTTTGTAGCAAAAAGGGGTGAGTAGGTAGTCTTACATTCCATGAACAGAGTACCCTAGGACTGTCAAGGGAGAAGAGCAGGTGCGGAATGTGGGACCCTATCCAGAGAAGCAGGGACACCAGAGATGGAGGCAGAGATGGGAACTTGGAGACATGGAGCAGCTGAGGACTCTAGACTCATGGAAGGTTAGGGGCTGTGTGCTGGTAGCCAAGGGGCAGGCTTGCAGAGTGTGCCCTTTGGTTGTTTGGATGATTGTATATTCCTGATTGTTTTGGTGTACATCCAAAGCAAAACCAAAAACAGATTGAATAGAGGCAG